CAAAGGTGATATAATACAAAGTATAGTGTTATAAATGTACATACATTTAAAAAAAAAATCAAAATATAAAAAACTTTCGAGGATTTATGATGCTGATGACTGTTAAACGCGTCATCACAGTCTTGTGAAAAGGGTCCATAGGGGTATTACGATATTCAAACCAAACCGAAAAAACGTGATACACCACCCACGGAACATACCCAGCCATGATGGTTTTGAATAGCTTGAATCCCTCTTAAAAGGAGGGTACCATTAAGGGCAACATGTGCAGAACAAATCTGTCATATAGGCTACATAAAATTATAAAGAGAACACGACTCTAAAAGAATATGCCATGTTTCGGTGCGTTGTTATGGAAAGAATGCGTCCACAGAGTTATAAAATCAGCTGTCGTAATTCTACACATTCCCGCAGGTTTCCCAATTGTAAAGCAGGAAATTCTCGCAACATTTATGCACTGTAGCATGTAGGTTGAATCCAGATTAGACACTTTAAAATTTTCTGTGTGACGGAATTTCACAAACAGTGTGAATGACTGGGACTGAGTGGTACTGTGTCTTCTCTCACTCTCTCAAAATGCACAAATGGCCTCATCCATAATATCCACGTTGAGTTTGCTCTGCAAGCGGGGCTATTTTTACCCATAAAGCACTCGCGCATTCTGAGAGATGGTCTTCAATGCGCTTCAAATGTGATGTTTATCATTTTATAAGACTTTTTGTTTTGTGAATCATGTAATTTTACAGTTTAATATGACACCATACATATTGCCCTACCCTGCTCATATGGCATTAATTTTATTTGTGTAGGTCTTAAAAAAGGTCATAAAAAGCCTTAAATTTGATTTTCAAAATCCTGCAGATACCCTGTAAATAGTTAAATAAAATTCCTTCTTTGATATTTGCTGATATTTGTGTTTTGAAAATGTTTTTGATTGAATGAATGGCCGGTAACTTAAAAATTTAGTAGCCAAATTGGCTGGTGAGTGAAAAAGTTAATTTCAATCCCTGTATATATATATATATATATATATATATATTATTTATCTCATTTAAGATGCATTTGGTCTAGTTACGCTGCAATAAAGTGCTTCATTGTAGGCCTACTACAGCACGCAGCACGAGCAGCACAAACAACAATGCAGAATATTAATAATAATGACTTGGACTGTCATATACATAACATTATAATGAGAACACTATTATAATTAAACGCTGTGTATTTTTTAGAGTATAGTTGCCGTGTTTCGCTGCAGGATAGCAGGCACTGTGCGTAATTCTACACATTCCCGCAGGTTTCCCAATTGTAAAGCAGGAAATTCTCGCAACATTTATGCACTGTAGCATGTAGGTTGAATCCAGATTAGACACTTTAAAATTTTCTGTGTGACGGAATTTCACAAACAGTGTGAATGACTGGGACTGAGTGGTACTGTGTCTTCTCTCACTCTCTCAAAATGCACAAATGGCCTCATCCATAATATCCACGTTGAGTTTGCTCTGCAAGCGGGGCTATTTTTACCCATAAAGCACTCGCGCATTCTGAGAGATGGTCTTCAATGCGCTTCAAATGTGATGTTTATCATTTTATAAGACTTTTTGTTTTGTGAATCATGTAATTTTACAGTTTAATATGACACCATACATATTGCCCTACCCTGCTCATATGGCATTAATTTTATTTGTGTAGGTCTTAAAAAAGGTCATAAAAAGCCTTAAATTTGATTTTCAAAATCCTGCAGATACCCTGTAAATAGTTAAATAAAATTCCTTCTTTGATATTTGCTGATATTTGTGTTTTGAAAATGTTTTTGATTGATGTTTCAACTCCTATCCAGTTTTCTGTAAGAGAGAAAAAAAAAAGGTATTTTTTTATATTCTGGCTAGTTAAATTCATCTCTGGCTACTAAAATTTGAAGAGTGCCTGCCCAAAGGGCTACCAGGGATTTTGAAATTTTGCGAGCCCTGAAAATAATTCCAATCAAAGCCACAGCAGAACTGTTGTGTGTCTCAGAGCAACCCAGCGGTGTTTTGTTACTGAATGAATCCACATTTTTGAACGAATCGATTGAGTCAATGATTCAGTGACCCATTCATAACAACAGTGAGTCAACATGCCTTTTTCTGAATGAATCAGTCATTTGAAAGAATCGGTTGAATGACTCAATCATTAAAACTTCATTTGCTGCCATCTACTGGTGGTTTGGTTTCATATTTAAAAGTATCATTGCATTTTCCCCAACATTTCTTATTTGTATGTTCAAAAAATATTTAAAACAATCTTATAACATTATTTATGCATTTGCAATTTTGTGGTGTAAATGCATTTATGGCACCTTTCAGCTTCATTAAACAGTCTGTGTAAATACATCTAATGCCACTTCAGATGCTGCTTCTGTGTTTCCTCTGCAGTAGAAAGATGGAGTTTGTTAACTGATTTCATTTGAATGTTAACAACTCTACAGTGTCTTATTGTTCTAACTGAATTATTTGATACAACGTAAGAATGTGATATGAAAGATGACAAACACATTTAATAAAGCTAGGAAAAATTGACATCTGTTTTGTTATATACAGCAACTCATTTTCACCTCTTTCCAGTCACAGAGCACTTCATGTTGAGAGTTGTTTAAGTGAGGGAAAAAATCCTGTAAAAGTGCAGTTTGAGGGAAATTGTAATGTTTATTAATTTATTTTATTATGAAAATAACATTTTGCATTGAAAAAAAAATAGATTTTTGTATGTATATGCTGTCAATTATAGTTCTTAGAAGGAAAATTGGAATCAGCAAAAATATTGGCAGGTCACACTTACAAAAAAAAAAAAAAATCGGAAATCAGAATCGGCCAAGAAAATTGCAATTGGTGCATCTCTACTTTGGTCTGCTAAATATCTCTTTTTGTGCCCTATATGTGTTTAGAAAAACATGAGCATGAATAAACGATAAAGTGCTAGCTTGAATGGGCATTGTTTCTTACCTTGTGGATGAAGTTTTCTATTTTGGTTTGAAGGCCCCACCACTTGAACTTGACGGTGACTAGTTTGTACGCACACATACGAGGGGTGTCTGTCTTAGCCAAGAGCTCTTTCTGTTCGGGGAGAAACCACACATTGTCTTTATACAGAACTGAATTAATTGGGAGTACAAATCTCTGATAAATTAATTAAATAGAGCCACTCACCTTCCAGTCTGGTCCTAAAGGTCCCCGGTCAGTTTTCTCTGAGTGAAAGATTGCTGGGTCCTCTTCCTGTTTATAGTCCTGAGAGAACGACAAATTGGGTCACTTTTATTTCCTTTATGGTTAATATTTCTCCACACTGCCTTGGTTTAGTCAGCATAGATGTAATTTCAGAGTATAAACTATGAATCAATGAAAAACAAATTAAAAACAAATTTATTACCAACTATCAGGAACAAAAGAGCAAAAACAGTCAATTTTGATTTCATGTTATCGCTGTTGTCAACTACTTTTAATGGAAAGTAGCTAAAGCCTGCTTAAACAGTTGCTTAAATGTCGCTAGATGATGCCATGCATTAATTAACATATTCATGACATCACCATACCATAGATGCATTCTTTTTCATTTTAAACCTTTACATATGACAAAATCACCATACACTATTCAGCTTTGCCATCACAGAAATAAATGATTTTTTAAAATATATTCAAATAGAAAATTGTATTTATATAGTAATAATATTTCCCAATATTACTGTTTTTACTGTATTTTTATTATTCAAATAAACACAGCCTTGGGTAGGAGAAGTGACTTCTTTCAAAAACATAAAATGTTAATGTAATTATTCCAAACATTTGACCAGTAGTGTGCATGTAAAATGATCCCTCAAGAGTCGCTACATTTGTAGTTAGGTTAAAAATAAAATAAAAATGGGGTCAGTAAGATTTTTAATGTAAGTTTTTATATATAATAAATCATCATGATCACTCAGAGAGTTGCTCGATTTGGGAATTCCCACCATTTCCATCTTTTTTCCACCTCACACTAGTGCAGACACTCGCACGCTACCTTTTAATCTCTCAAACCTCGGCACTGACTACCGTGAACATATGGGAATAAGGATTAACCTGAACCAGGACTGATCCACTTAACTAATTAAAGATATGAAGCATAAAAGCACTGAGGCCTGGGAAGAGCAGTCACTTCAGCGCCCCTCCACAGTGAGCGGGTCAGCAGGAGATGAAGAGAAGATAACCAACACACTCCTGCTAGTCAGCACACAACGACACTGGACTCCAGTCAAACGGACGCAGCTGTATTTATGCATTCGGCACCGTGCCAGAATGAGGTCACATGGAAACACATTTGGATTTATTCAAAGCAGCTGATGTTTGACAGTATACGTGTCTGCTAGTACACGGCACCGGCAGCTAGTTTGTTTGATCTTGAAGCTTGAGATTTTAGCAGCGATGTCTACAGCTTCAAACAGACCAGATTGATCAGTAAATTTAGCCGCTTACAGCAGGATCAGGTCTCCCCGTAGTAGATAGAGTAGAGATAAGAAGAAGCCTTCTTGATAAACTAGTGAACCTCGAGTAATGCAGGTTAGAAGGGCAATGGTCCACGCGCTCTAAAATCACGTCACCCTAATCCAGTCTTACGTAACACGCCGGCTAAAAGCTGAATCACAAGTCACACACTAGCCAGCCTAAACAGCATGCGGGATAAGGATTAGCATGTCCCAAATCACTGCACACTGAAAACAGTGTGCTAAAAGTGCTGTTTCTGGTGGATTTTTAATGTGCATGTTTTTAGGCTAATATTGCTTCTAAATTTTTGTGCTACAGGAGGAGGAATTTGTGACATTGTGATTTGTTTGTAAGAACCTAATCAATACTGTAATTATTTGGATACGCTAAAGCTTACAAGCAAACAAACAGTACACAACAAAGCGGTTTGTTTTATCAAGACAATTTTATGACATGATAACATGTCTAAATAGTGCCGTACTCTCTTGCTACAAAGTAAAAGCATTTCTGTTCAAATGTTTGGGGTCAGCAAGATTTTTTATGTTTTTGAGTTTCTTTTGCTCACCAAGGCAGCATTTTTTTGAAAATGAGTAAAAACTGTAAAATTGTGAAACATTACTATTTAAAATAACTGCTTTCTATCTGAATATATAGTAAAATGTAATTTATTCCTGTGATGAAAGCTGAATTTTCAGCATCATTACTCCAGTCTTCAGTGTCACATGATCCTTCAGAAATCATTCTAATATGATGACTTGCTGCTCAAGAAACATTTCTGATTATTATCAGTGTTGAAAACAGTTGTGCTGCTTCATATTTTTTCGAAACTGTGATACATTTTATTTTCCAGCATTATTTGACAAAAAGCTCAAAAGAACAGCATTTATTTGAAATAGAAATCTACTGTACCATAAATGTCTTTACTGTCACTTCAATTGACAATGCATACTTAATCTCTTTCAAAAACAACAAAAATCATACTGACCTCAAACTTTTTGTGTGGAGAATATTACATAAAACACAGTATTAAACTAAGTGGATAAATCAGATTTTGCAAGTTTAAGATTATCTGCATCAGCCGATAAGCGTTTATGCATGAGCGATTAACAGAAGCACAAAGGTTGAACATTAAAGAGCCTCAAATAATTCCAATGGACTCATTTAGTCATTTTGCAGATGATTTTATCCAAAAGGGCCTTACAAATGAGGATCATCACATGCCACTAGCCTAAACCATAACCTCTAATGCAAAAACAGCTTAAAACATTTGCAGCTGAGGGTGGGGCTATGCAAATTAGTTGCAACTGGTTGGATATCAATAGCCCAGTTTTGAGTGCCAGTTGACCACAGGATGACCAGCAGGGATGGACTATGAGCTTTATATTCAAAGTGGGTATTGCTACTAAAAGGCACAAAGAATGTGTGCAAATAAGATCAGAGCATTTCTAGACTGATGTAAAGTGAACTCACTCCAGGTTCGACCTGAGACCGATCGGCTATATCGATATGCACGACCTCCACTGTCTTCCATGTGGTGGGATCCAGATCATGTACCTGGTATTGGGCACAAACAAACAAAAAAAAAATCAGCCTGAGCATGAGATTACCGATGCATTCAAAACATCAAATAACAAAGAAACGTCTCACTCACATTCTCTAAAGAGCCCGTGTCAGGTTTGTGCCATGTTTCAATTTTAATCATGAAGTCATCTTTCATGTATTCGTTCTGAGGAGAAGATACAGTGATGCTTACATTGATATAATGCGGTTTTATCACAAACAGCAGCAAGAATTCACTTTAAACTGTGGTTTAACAGCGCATGCAATGCAAATATTCTGAAGTCCAGCAACTTTAGAGCGATTCAAACTGCTTATTTTTAAACTGGCTTTAATGCTGGAGGGAACAAGTTTCTAGAAAACAGGAAGTAAAAAGACTGAACTCCAATTTCTTCGTAAACTGGCGTTATGATTGGTGTGCTGAACTAAAATAAATACACATACAGTGGTCCCAGAACATATTCAGGCACTTGAAGGAATAGTTCTGCCAAAAATGAAAACTTGCTGAAAATTTACTCACCCTCAAGACATCCAAGATGTAGACGAGTTTGTTTCTTCATGGGAACAGATTTGGAGAAATGTAGCATTGCATCACTTGCTCACCAATTGATCCTCTGCAGTGAATGGGTGCCGTCAGAATGAGAGTCCAAACAGCTGATAAAAACAGCACAATAATCCACACAACTCCAGTCCATCAGTTAATGTCTTGTGAAGTGAAAAGCTGAAGAAACAAATCCATCAAGATGTTTTAAATTCAAACTACCATATTGACCCGAATATAAGACGTTGTTTTTTTCTTGGAAATACATCTGAAAAAACGCGGTCGTCTTATATTCAGGGTCTAGACTTTGACATGTCAATAATACACCCACAACAATAGGTGGCGCCAAATACGCATAAAACGAGTGTGCCATGAAATACGTAATGTAATGCGTGTTGTAAAGATCGCCAGTAAAAACAAAAGAAAAAGAAAACCTTACAGCTGCACGAGTCGTGACTGTCACGTTACCCTGATGGGACCAAACTCCCTTTGTGATTTTAAAACGTAAGACAATACCCAGATTTGAAGACTACAGTAAGATTGAACTTCTACTGTTAATAAGATTTTGGCAGGCTACTATTAGATGGATAGCCTAAATGTCCTAATTCAGATGGGCTACCAGTTTTTTTTATTTTTTTTTATGGTATATCAAAAAGTGTATATTTTTTAAATGTGATTGTTGATAAATTTTTCCAGTTTTTACCATACTTTCAAAACAAAAATTAAAATAGGAAAAGTCCATAATCCATAATAACGATTCCTCCAGTGAAAAAGTCCATCTCCTGTTGTTCTCTCACATCAAAATCCACCCACACATTTGTTTAGAGCTGTTTTAGACTGTTTTCACTTGTAGACGGTGCTTGAGCTGTGCATATTTCTCTCCTGATTCAGACAACTTTTTTCACTGGAGGAAATGTTCTTATGGATTATAGACTCATATTTCAGCCAGAACCATTGGTTTGAAGTTAAAAAAGTCCTGATGGATTTGTTTCTTACAAGCATGCAGATTTTAACTTCACAAGACATTATTTGATGGACTGGAGTGGTGTGGATTACTTGTGGATTATTGTGATGTTTTTATCAGCTGTTTGGACTCATTCTGACGGCACCCATT